ATGACCCTGCTATCGCTAGATATATTGGTTGAGGTGGTCTGCCTGGATGAGCTCTTCAATACGGTCTCGGAGTGTGCGGCACTCCTCAGTGGTGTGACCGTGATTCCTATGGTACCGACAGTGCTTGGATTTGTCGGCACTGTTAGGGGTGTGACCTGGCGGGGGCAGGGTGAGCAGGTTGCTGTTACTGGCCTCCTCCAGGATATGTACTCGGGGCGTGTTCAGGGGAGTATAGAAGTTGTATCTCCCCCCTCTATCTGCTCTAGTCGACTTCTTAAACTGGCTGTCATTGTTGACCTTGATCTTGTCCTTGTGACCCTGTGCTGGATTCATTAGTCCTTTGCCGTGGACCTGGTCACGAAAGGCGGAGTGTTCCTCCATCTGGATGTAGCCTGCAGCGCGGGCGCAGAGCTCGTCCATGTCGCGAGGGGCCTCAAGGCATAGGCTGTCGACGAATGGCCCAGGCTTGAGTGCCATGAGCATGGCATGCAGGGCGACCTCGAGGTTCAGATTTCTGATCTTAACCGAGGTGGCGGCAAATCACTCCATGAATGCCCTAAGTGGCTCGTCGTCGTTCTGTCTGAGACTGGTCAGGGCGGCTGAGGTGATGTGGTGAGGCCGGCTCGTTGCATATTGCGCTGTGAATCGCCTAACCAGAGTGCTGAAACTGTTGATTGACTCAGCGGGAAGCTGGGTGTACCAGTTGAGCGCGGCCCCTTTGAGCAAGGTCAGAAAAACCCTACACAAAATAACATCATTGTTAGTGTAGAGGTTTACCTGTGTCATATACAGGTTGATGTGCTCATCGGGGTCCGTCGTGTCATCATAGTGATCGAGGTGGAGAGGCTTCCACCCCTGAGGGAGTGGTGTCTCCATGATGCCATCCACAAATGGATGACGGCGGAAGGTTGCTTGACCCCCCGTGACATGAGTTGGGGCCTTGTTGACTTCATGGGCTGACTTGTTCGTCGGTACATGAGACCGATGCGTGGCAAGTCGTGGAGTCGGTGCCCTAGTCATAGTTTGGGGCTGAGAGACCGAGTGCCCTTCTTCCTCGTGGAGGTTGCTCGCCTCAGAAGGATGATCATAGGGGTGTCGAGGGAGCTGGGCGTGAATCTACTCGTTTTTCAACGCGTAGCACTGCTAGGTCAGCTTCATTGGCGGTCCGCATCACCACTAGGTCGATTTCGTGCTGGGCACACATGTTTCGCAGTTCGGCGTCGTGTTGTTGCCGCATCTGTTCGACCTGGTCGATCAGTCTCCTCAATGTGGCTTCGTTATCCATGGTAGTTGTGTGATCTGCGTCGTCTGTTACGCGTCTGCTATGGCTTCTGGTGAATACCATAAGTGTGGCCAATAAGAGCTGTCTTGATCGGCCCCACGGTGGGCGCCAAATGTTCTTACCGAAGATCCGCTGTAGAGGTGATCCGCCGAGTAAGATTGGTGAGCCTCCTTCACTGGTACGTTGGTGCTCCAAGATGGGGGTGGTACCTGCAAAAGAGACTCCGATGCCAAAGTTAGGGTTTGTATGAGTAGATGTCTCGTATAAGTAATGCACGTACCTTAGTGTGAGTTAGGGTTGCGTTGGGCCTTGGGCCTGAGATCAGTTATGATCTAATTAGATAGCGGATCTCGTCTGGACCGAGATCTCCTGAGATCGGTTATGATCTGGTTGGATTGCGGATCTCGTTTAGACCGAGGTCTCCAAATGCGTGTTCTGAGGTCATTCCACGCAGCTGTGCCGAGCTCGAGCTCGGCATGGCGGTACGGATAGTACATCTACCAATTTCTTACCTATTAAGAAACTCACTCAATCTCAATTACATGAAAAGCGCGTTGTAGACCTTTACTACCATTGTAACGAAAACTATCACTTTGGCCATAAATATGCTACCCCTAAATTCCTCTTATTATATGATGATTCTCTTGATGTGGAGGATATATGACCCTCTAGTGCTAGAAGAAGAACCAATTCCAGATTCTTCTCCCTGTACAGATGCTATACACTTTCATTTATCACCTCATACTATTACTAGGTCACCACCCATCACCACACTGAAAATTCAAGGGTTCATATTCAAGGCTTTTCAGTTTTGGTTCTCATTGATAATGGAAGTTCCTACAACATCATTCAACAATATATTTTAACCTTTCTATTTTACATTCCTACCAATCGAGTGTGTTGATGTTGTGTTAGGTATTGCTTGGTTAAGTACTTCCGGCCCCTCCAAGTTGACTTTCCCATTCCTCAACTCTCTGACATTCAAGGGTTACTCACTAAATTCATCTTCGTCTTCCAAGGGTTACCACACTTCTTGTTTTGACACTCCTTAATTTTTCTAAAAATTTTGTTGTCAAAATTGTTGAGAGTTTCCACACATATACACATGTCTCCATATTGGTGAGATATTATCCGCTTTGGACCTTAGCCCTCACAGATTTGCTTTTGGACATCACCCAAAAGGCCTTTCAACCAATGGAGACAATCATGTGTATATAAACCCATATCCATCCTCTTGTTTGAACGATGTAGGACTTTGCTTGCATCCCAACAATCCTCCCCTCAAACAAAGGACAACGATTTAACTCATCTCCTGCAGCGAAAACTGCGAGTATTATCTGATGGTGGCCCCACACTGATGGTGGCCCCACAGAGCTCACTCACACTTAGAGTGCTTGCACCGCCGCTCCATCATGACCTCCCTCATGACAGCGGGACACGCCTCCTAACCCTCCATGTTACTGGGAAGCCTCTCTTCCACATGGACCCACTGTTAGGAAGACTTTCGACACAAGGGATCCCAAACTTAGATCCACCTGCCAACCATCATACTCGTCGAGCCGGTCACCTCAGACCATCGGCTCTAATACCACTTGTTGAGCACTGAGGGGGTTTTCACACATATACACATGTCTCCACATTGGTGAAATATTGTCCGCTTTGGGCCTTATCCCTCACAGATTTGCTTTTGGACATCACCCAAAAGGCCTCTCAACTAATAGAGACAATTATGTGTATATAAACCCATGTCCATCCTCTTGTTTGAACGATGTGGGACATTGCTTGCATCCCAACAAAAACTTATGTCTCCTCTACTGCAATTGGCACTGTGTTGTCCCAACAAGGCCAACCCATAGCTTTCTATAGCAAATGATTATGTCCTTGAATACAGGTTGAACTCGTTTGTGTGTAAGAGTTGTATGTGGTCACCTCTATAGTTAAAAGATGACAATACCTAATGGGACAACATTTTCATATTATTACTTATCAACAAATTTTGAGAAACGTATTAACTCAAGCAATTCATACACTAGCTCAACAAAAATGGGCCAACAAGTTACTTGGCTAATATTTTGAGGTGTCTTACCACCCTAGGAAGCGCACAATCAAGCATATGATGCCCTATATACACCTAAACCACCTAACACCGACTCAACTTCTCCAACAGTGTTCCTTAGTGATATTTCTTCCCTTATTCCTACCATCATTCACTAGTTTTGCCAATATTATGCCACTAACTCAGTGGGTCAACAATTGGTTAAAAATTACATAAAAGATGAAGATAATCCTACTTTCCATTTTGCCAATGAATTATTTTACTTAAAAAAGATATTTTTACATGATGCTCATGTTTTTCATGTTTTTATATTGCAGGAACTTCATGTCTCCCTTTTAATTCGGAGATCCTTCATTACATACAATTGATCTAATGGATTGTCATATCATGAGAGATGAGTGTATTGTAAAATAATCTACTAGTGTACTAGAGACATTTTCTCTCTAAAAATAGCAGCTAATGTACTTCAACTCAAACTTCTTTAAATCTTCTTATTTTATTTCAGTCATTGTTATTTAATTTTATCATTTTGTTGATATTGATTTGATATAATTTCAATGAAAAATAATATCTTTTATTTCCTATTTCCATGGTTCCAACACTTTTTAACTATTCATGTAATTATTAGAAAGTCAAGTGATCATTTCAAGTGGTACTTCTTATAATACTTTGTTAACATGTGACACTTCTAAAGTAATTTATTGATCCTTAAAAAAATATTATTTATATATCTTAAAATGATTATTAGAGACAAAAAATAGTGACATTAAATTTTAAAGGGATGAAAATCAAAATTAAATATTTTATAGGAATGAAACCCAATTTTTACTTATATTACAAAGATCAAAAATTAATGTTTACAAATTCTATATGAAAAAAAAAAATTTACAAAACTAAAATCAAAATATGTCTATTTTACGAGATTAAAAATATATTTAACTCTTAAAATATTATGTAATTATTATATTTAGATATGTAGTATGATGTCGATACAAGAAAGGTTGGTGAATGAAAAGATATAAAAGATGACAATAATAATAAAAGAAAATATCTCCAAATGAAAATGTTGTTACATATCGAATGTGCTTAAGAGATTTTCTATTTTTTTTTTCTTTTAAACTCATTAAAAATTACATAATAGGTAACATTTTGATTTTTCTTTTATAATTAAGAGGTATAACTTCATCCCACCAAATAAGTCCATTTAAAAATAAAGTGGTATGCAATTACTTTATAGTCAAATTAAGGATCAAATTATAAGTACTTTAATTAAATAAAAAATAACAACAACAACAAATTTCTATAAGTAACATTATTTGTTAAAAGTTTATTATTTATGTCATGTGTAGCGAAGATTTTCTTACCAAACTTAAAATGAATTGTATCCCAGTAGCCCTATCATCAATACCATGCAATGTTTATAAATAATGGATTTGATTTTTACGCTATTCCTAGCAACGTTTTGTTTTTTCTAAAAGTTTTGCTATTAATTTGATTAAAAAAAATGTATACAGGCATAATGTCAATGTTGGCTGTTGATCATCAAAACTTATATTCAGTATTCAACCATATCTTAAATAAGATTATCTCTCTACACGAATATCCATGTTAGAAAAAACAACATTAAAAAGAACTAGGAAGTAAATTATTTGAAGAATTAGATTCAATAATTCTTTTGAAAACAACTTGATATTTGCGACGAATTAATTACAAATACACATATCCAATAATGTCTTAGTACACAACTTAGCAAAATATAACACTCCTAGAAGCTATTGATCTTTGCTTCGAGTTGATAACTAGTTCAAAACACACTAAATCATTCATGGTAGGAAAGGTGAAGGTACAAATGACTTTTTATTCAAGTAGGGATGACAATGGTTGATGATGTGGATTTTGCTGAATCATACAGAGAGTAGCTGATGTGATAAAACAGGTTTAACTAAAACTTCAAGAGGACTAGTTTTCATGTTTGAAAGTCCAAATGTGGCACTCATATCAACCTCAACATTGGATGGAGTTGTGATTTCAAAAGCTTGCAATAAAGAAGCTAATGCCAAGTGTGTCATTTGAAGGCCAAATGATATGCCAGGACACAACCTTCTTCCACCGCCAAAAGGAAGGAGCTCAAAATGTTGACCCTTCACATCCATATCCTTGTGGATGTTCAAAAACCTTTCTGGTTGAAATTCTAATGGGTTTGACCATATACGTGGATCCCTATGCAATTTCCAAACGTTCAAAATAAATCGGGTACCTGCTCGGATATTGTAACCACCTAGTGTACAATTTTCTGTGAATTCACGAGGACTTCCTAATGGCCCAGCTGGATACAATCGTAGTGTCTCTTTAACCACGGCTTGAAGATAAACTAATTTGTTAATGTCTGATTCATTCACTAGTCTTTTCTTACCCACATGCTCATCTAATTCATCTTGAACTTTCTTTAAAGCATGACGATTATTAAGCAATAACGACAATGCCCATATCATGGTAACTGTTGTAGTATCAGTTGCTCCAGCAATTAAAATCTACAGGATACAACAATAGTTTTAATTTTCTAGTATTAACTTTCTAGAAAGGTTGTTAATAATACATGTTAAAATAAGTTTATCTTTATTTTTACTGGATGTGAAATTTTGTTAAAAACATTTATTTCAACAATTTAATTCAATTTTATTTTATTTTTTATCTATAAAAATTATAAAATGAGTGATAAGATTCAAATTTATGACTTTGTATATACTATTTCAACTTCTCTAGCCTATTTTAATGGTTCAAATTTAAACCATTTGAGATAAAATTAAATTATTCAATCGAAACCTAATATATCAATATTTATATTATATAATTAAATAATTAAATTAAAGGAAACATGTAAGTATAGTGTTAAAGTATAAATTATTAAAGGAAACATATAATTATAGTGTTAAAATAATATCAATTTATTGTTATATAAAATATCATTATCTATTAAATTAAAAGTGTATTATGAATATATTTATTTTGAAGCTTTTATTTTTTTGAGAAATATTAAATTTGGACTGAAACAAACTCAAATTCATTTTTTTTACACCAACTCAAATTCATTTTTAAAAAACAGCAAAACAATATTTAAATTCTAAAACCGTCAAAATTGACTTCAAACTGAAAAGGTAAGTCACACATGTCATTTAACACCCATAGTCATACTTTGTGGTAAGGACTACCCAGGACATTTTATATACTGAAAATATTAAACAGAGGATGAATAAAACTATACTGAAAATAATAAAGCTAACGAACAGGGGAATGTATGATATCTTTCTATACTTAAATTTGGATGATAAATCAAAGAAGAAAATCAATGTAGTGAGTGTTACGTACCATGCAGGTGGCTTTTAGGACGGTGTCAAAATCATAACCGGCAAGGTCGACGCCGTTAAGGACAGACAGCAAAACATCAATGAAGTCTTGTTCTGTTTCAGCAGTCTCACCCGAAACTTTTATTATTCGATGTTCTTCTAACCATTCAGAAACGATGCTGTCTATTTCTATAGCCGTTTTCTTCATCTCCTTAACTTCACCTCCCAAATCAAGCCACCCAAGAAAGGGAATGGCGTCACCAACAACAAACAACCCTGTCAAACGGAAGAACTCTCTGAAAACCCTCTGAATTCGTCTCACTTGTTGCTCATCCTCGCCTTTGCCGGAGTACCGCTTCCCCGCAATCATCCTCAGAATCACGTTCAGATTCACATCTCCGAACCACGCCTTCATCTCCACCAACAATTCGCCGGAGCCGCCACTTCTCTCAACCCATTCTCTGTACAATTCTTTCAAGGAGCTCTTTACCTCGGATTCTCTGATATCTCGAAGAAGCTCAAACCGGGTAGCGGAAAGTAACTCCGAAGCCGTTAACTTGCGCATCTCACGCCAGAATTTTCCGTAAGGGGAGAACCCAAAGTTAGCATAGTCGTATCCCAGGATTTTTGCGGCGGTGAATTTGGGACGAGAAGAGATAACGACGTCGTGAGTGGTGAAACACTCTTTGGCTAACTCCCAAGAGCTCACCACCACCGCTGGGTGCACTCCAACTCGGATGCTGAATATTGGGCCGTACTTGTCTGCCAACGCTCCTAGGGCTTCGCATGGAGGCTCACCGGAGCCACCCAAAAGGTGAAGATGACCGATTAAAGGCCAGCCACCGCCTGCTGCCGGTGGCTTGCGGGAAGAACCTGCCCTAGTCCGTTTGATGAAGTACGCATAGTAAGAAATTAAGACTATGCCGATAACTGCGGCAACTGCAGCTTCCAGGTACTCATTCGTAAGACCCATCAAGTTAATTTCATAAATTATATTCTGTTTACAAAAGATTATTGATCTGCAACCTGTTAGGAACAGAGGCCGCTACATACAATCAAAAAACAGAGAGAGAAAATCAAATGTGTAATCAATATACCCAACTAAAAGTCTCTGTGTTATCCATAGATCAAAATCTTTTATCTCTAATCCCTTATCCCAAATTCTCTCACTCCAATTATAAAATGCTATATTATTATTTTTAATTTTAATTTTAAATTTTAAAAAATTATAAATGATTCTGTTACGATTTTTTTCTCTCACTGCAATGTTCTCTTCGTAAAAAAATGCTTTATTTTTATCAAAATTACTAGCATGCCAATCAGTGACAGATGAAAAGAAAACAATTCAAAGGAAAGGAATAAACTTTACCATGGAAACTATATGATGAAGATCTGATACTATTATATTAACAAAATTATTATTTTGTTAAATGGTTATATAATTTTTTTTCAAATATATTTTATTTTTAAAAAAATATCTATTTTTATTTTGTAATTTCAAGAATACGATTCACATAAATATTATAAATAAGAAAATCATTTTTAAATATATATATTTTTTAAAATATTATATTTAAATATTTTTAAATTCAAAATAATTTAAATAAAATAAATAAATATAAAAGGCCTAAAAGAATATGTAATAGATAATTATTTATCGTCATATTTTTAAGAAATAAAAAATAATTTTCTTATTTATAACAATTTTTTTCCTAGTTATTTTTATTTTATAATTTTAGGAATTTTTTGGTCATCACATCACCCCTTCGATATTTTATTTTATTTTTTAGTTTTTTATTCACACACAGTCTCCAAGAATAATAAAGTAACAAAAAATACATAAGATATATCCTTCAAAATTTATTGACCGAAAACTCCTCCTAATGTTTAAAACTTTTAAGATATTAAAATTAAAAGAAATATTTTATTTGAAAATTTTGACGGATGCAAATTTTGATGGGTTAAAAAATGAGTCGAAAGCTTCAGAGGAAAAAAGGTATGCGAGTAATAAACAGAAGGTGTAGAAAAGAGATAAATAAATTAATAAAATAACATGAAAATTAAGTATATTAAGGATTATTTTGCTTTGTCTCTCTTTTGACGATCAGATCTAAAAATGCGTTAAAGACTTTATTGATAGGGTCTCACTAAGTCATTCTCATGTTTCTCATTGTCTTTTAGTTTCTTCTACTCCTATTCTTTTTCTCTGTTTCACGTTATATAATTTTTTATTTTCTTCTTGATTTAAGATTTATTTGATCTCTTTAAATATCGCGTTTGTTTCATTTTGTTTAACTCTAATTTTGTTGGATTGTTACACAAATTCATTCTTTATTACATACGTATCTGATTCTTGGTCACTTGTTTAGAGCATTGTGTTATGGATGAAGAAGGACATCAAGAAATGGGCATTGATAATGTGGATGAAATTGAAGGAAAAAAAATTGATATGATACATGATACAATTCCTAGTCAATTTATATCAAAAGTTGGGATAGAGTTTGAGACTGAAGATGCAGCATATAATTTTTACAATGATTATGCTTATAGAGTGGGTTTCAGTGTGAGGATTAGCAAAGGGCATAAAGATAAATATGGGAAGATAGTCAATAGAGTATTCTGTTGTTCATGCGAAGGATATCGTGGTAAAGATAAGCGAGAAGATAATGTCAAAAATCCTCGACCACAATCAAGATTTGGTTGTTTGGCAAAGATGAAAGTTAATAATCGTTTAACGGGAAAGTATCGTGTAACTGAATTTATTGCCGAGCATGCACATGAGACTACAACTCCTAGTAAGAGTCATTTTCTTAGATCTCAAAGGAAAATGACTATTCCTCAAGTAGCCGAGGTTCATTTAGCTGATGATTCTGGAATTACTCCAAAAGCAAGTTGTGAGTTAATGGCTAGGCGAGCTGGTGGTCGTGAAAATCTCTTGGATTCATTCTCGAAGAGTATAGAAATTATTTACGTTCCAAGAGAACAATGCAAATGAAGTTAGGAGATACAGGTGGTGTGCTAGAGTACTTGCAAAAAATGCAATTAGAAGATTCTAATTTCTTTTATGCAATACTAGTCAATGAGGATGACTTAATTACTAATATATTTTGGGCTGATGTGAAGATGATGATTGATTATTCATATTTTGGTGTCGTTGTTTGTTTTGATACTACTTATAGAAAAAACAAAGAAGGACGTCCATTTGCAATGTTTGTTGGAGTCAATCATCATAAGCTTACCATTATTTTTGGAGCAACATTATTATATGATGAAACGACTGAAAGTTTTATTTGGTTGTTCAATGCTTTTGCTAAAGCTATGTCAGAAAAGAAACCAAAGACTATTCTTACTGACCAAGATGCAACAATGGCAAAGGCATTAGCTTTGGTATGGCCAGAAACATGCCACCGTCTTTGTATTTGGCATTTGTATCAAAATGCATTAAAGAAATTGAGTATAGTATTTGGGAAGTTTCAAGACTTCAGTAAGGATTTTAATAAATGTATCTATGAATATGAAGAGGAAGAAGAGTTTATAATAGCTTGGAACAATATGCTTGAGAAATATGATCTTAAAGACAATAGTTGGTTGAAACAGACTTTTGCTTTAAAGGAGAAATGGGCATTAGTTTATGGTCGAGAGAACTTTTGTGTAGACATGACTACCACACAACGAAATGAGAGTATGAATAATGTAATTAAAAAATATGTGAGTTATCAACATGATTTAATAAGACTTTTTCATCATTTTCAGAGAATGGTAGAAGATCGTCGATATGAGGAAAGGCAGATTTTAAAGCAACCCAAAGAAGTTTAGTTCTGTCATTTGATGTGGAAATTCTACGGCATGCGGCAACAATTTATACTCCTACAATATTTAAGATGATCCAACATGAGGTATCAAGTAGTTATGATTGTAGTATGTATATTTCCTCTCACATGCTCTCAAAGTTCTCTCTTCAAGAAATGTAATGAAAATTCCTACTCTGTATGTATTAAAGAGATGGACAAAACATGCAAAAATGGGAAATGGCATACCAACTAACCATTCTATAATCCATGAGGACCCTAAGGCAAAAATAGGTATGCACTATAAAGACATATGTAGGATGCAAGTTTAGTTAGCAACTAAAGGAGCGATATCTGAAGAAACATATAATATAGCTATTAGTTATTTGACCAAGCCCATGAATGATATAGATGTCTGTCTTGAAGGTAGAGACAAAGAAGCTAGTACTAGTGATGGTTCACTTATAAATATTGAAAAAGGTTGGTGTAGTGGGAATAAGGATAACGTGAAAGGAATAAAGACCAAAGAAAGATTTCGAGGATCATCTACTAGGCCAAAAGGTATTCTTGAAAGAAGAAAAAAGAAGAAAACTATGCAACAAGATGAACCTTCCATGAAGAACTTAGATAATGAATTGCCTTCATCTCAATTTAATAAGGTATTCTCTAATATATTCTACTTTTTGTTTTTCATGCTAATTTATAATCTATATGATAATTTGTAATTGTTATTAAAATTGTATTATTTAGTTTCCCACATATGTTGCCAACAATATATTCATGGAGTCAAGTAGTAACATGAGCATGACAGAGTTGTTACAGGTGATAAATTATAGTGCATTCTATTTTTGTTAGTTTAATATTTCTTTTAAATCACGTTTGTCAAATGGGGTATATGTATATGTACAGGTTTTAGGGTTTAGGGTTTAAGGTTTAGCATTGAACATGGAACAAATGATGTTACAAATTCTCAAAGCAAAGAAGGACAGAATGATCTGTGAAGCAATTTGGTCATAGAGAGTTTTTATAAATATCAAGATGTTTCAATGATTCTAGTTTAAAATTTTGGTTTTATGTATTTTTCAAACTTTGCAAATACACTATTGCAATTTAGATATTTTTCTTGGCCTTGTATCGTAGAAATAAAATTTCTCACTTTATTAGATAATCTTATTATGATCAAACAAGAAATTCATTTGATGTTATTATTAATGCAAAATAAAAATTATAGTAATAAAATAACCTCTGATCTTTTTTATTATTAATGAATTTATAATACATCAATACAATTTTACTGGCTCATATTTGATGTTTACAATTGAGTAGTTTGCAATCTTTACATATCAAAAGTCAAAATGTATTTTAGTCTTCAACAATCACATATAGTTGAAATTCAGAATCTAATGCATTCACTGATGCATCCTTGAGTATTTGTAGTCTTGGTGAAGCTTTGTGTTTGGTAGAGGATCCATTGGTGTGATCAATAAATTAAAAACTTGTTTGCTTTGGTCTCACTAACTTGCACAATATTAGATCTTATAATCAATGAGTAAGTTATTAGAATATCAATATAAAAAAGAATGCTAGGAAAAAAATTATTATAAATAAGAAAATTATTTTTTATTTTTTAGAAATATGACGATGAATAGTATCTATTACATATTCTTTTAGGCCTTTTATTTAAATTATTTTGACTTTAAAAATAATATTTTAAAAAAAAAATATATCTAAAAATAATTTTTCTATTTATAATATTTATGTGAACAGTATTCCTGAAATTACAAAATAAAAATAGCTAGAAAAAAAATTAGTATAAATAAGAAAATTATTTTTTATTTATTAGAAATATGACGATGAATAATATCTATTACATATTTATGAGGTTCCATTTTAAGAGTATGCCAATCAATCCGGAAGTTGGCTTCCACCGCTACCTGTTCTGTACGAGATGGATCTGTGTACTGTGACTCAAACCATTTTGGACTGACCAGGTTTTTCGCTGGTCCCTTGTACTTTAGTACATAGGTGCTATCTTTTGCGATGTAGAAATAGTGCTAAAAAGTCTCCTTTCATGACTCTGTCCTCTAGCTTAAACTTACCTAAGACAGAAGAAGAAATAACTTCTTCAGGCCAAGCACCTCCAATGTGAATGAACATGTTTTAAAACAAAACACCAAAGACACCTCCGATAGTATAGAATCAACATGACGTATTGAATAAATATATCTAAAAGATATTTATTCACTCATAAGATATTTTCAGAAAACTAAAAATAAGTAAACATAGAAAATTCTAAAAGACTGATAACTGATTTTTCTTATTGTTTCAAATTGAAATATCATAATTATACATAAG